ATTATTCAATTTATTTTTTTTCTAAATAATTATTATAATGTGTATTTGTGGATTTATAATTTTATTAGAAAGAAAAATTGGATAAATTTCCTATTGGAATAATTTTTACATAAAAGAATAAATAGTTTTTCTGTATAATATTTCATAATTAGATTTAAACATAATCCAATGAGGAAAGCTTGTTTTCAAATTGTATACATTTTGGTATAATTAAATTTATAAGTTTCTTGAACAATTTTTAGTATATTTTAATATTACTAGGAGAAAATTAGTGAATTATAAAAGTGTGAGTAATGAAGAATTGTTCGTTATAGTGGAAAATTTATTTAATTAAAAAATTAATTGAAATTTCCAAGTGATTTCATGCAGAAAAGAAACAAAAAATGGATTTGGTTTGGCTTCAGTATCTCAACTTTATTTTCAATGCAGTCTTTGATGTGCCTTTCTAAAGATAGGTATATTTTTCACCGTGATTAACAGTTAATTAGTTGGTAAGGATCAAAGGATGCTGCGGCAGGAATGATATACTTACTTTCTCCATCAGCTCTCGGACTATACCGTTCCATTGCTTTGTTTCCGGATCGTAGACGCCGTACATGTGGTCGGGGACGAGTCGGATGCTGTATTGGAATCCCACTTGGGTGGCTATCCACTTGAGAAGATCAATGCAGAAACCCTCGTACCTTGCGTTTCCGGTCAGATTCTTCTCGCCCTTCACCATCACGTAGGGACGCTCCTGCGAATTAATATTCATAACTCATTAGAGGACTCGCTCCGCTTGTTCTTGTTCTCGTTGCTGTTGTTGTTCTTGTTCTATGCGTTTTGTGTCTTTGCAGTCTGGAGGAGTGCAAATGCCAGCCGGATTGCAGCTACCAAACAAACGAGGACAATGGGACAATGTCCCATCGTCATCATCGTCGTCCTCATCTTCGCAGCGCTGAATGCCGAGACGCGCTTTCTGCAGGAGTGAATGTATCCGAGCGACCGTAAATCCATTGGATTATTTACAATGAAAGTCTACACTATATCAACTATGTGCAAGTACGTTCTCATAAATTAAATCATAAATGGACTGCAAACTTTATTGGTGGATGCGCCGGGTACAAAATTTATATTTGAATATTTTCAACCAATATTAAACAATAATTCATTAACTTTAAGAGATCATAAATATCTTAATGTTTTTTTTATAAATATTTTGTTGTATTTTACTTCGATTCCAAATTTTAGTTGTAAGTTTGATTGCATACATATGAAGTAACGTTAATATATTTTTTTATTGCTTTTAATTATTAAGCTTAGGAAATTAATGGAAAATATTTTTATTAAATTTAATTAAAATTCAATTTTCAAAAGATTAACAGGAAAATCACAATAGAAAACGTCGTAATGAGATGATTAAATGAAAAGAAAATAATGAATGAAATTTCTACACTTATTGATTTCTTAGCTAATTATTCAATTTATATTTTTTTTCTAAATAATTATTATAATTTGTATTTGTGGATTTATAATTTTATTAGAAACAAAAATTGGATAAATTTCCTATTGGAATAATTTTGAGATAAAAGAAGAAATAGTTTTTCTGTATAATATTTCATAATTAAATTTAAACATAATTCAATGAGGAAAGCTTGTTTTCAAATTGTATAATTAAATTTATAAGTTTCTTGAAAAATGAATGGTTTTATGGAAAGTTTCATTGTGTGAATGATTCTGAAGTCTATTTAAATGGTATAAAATCAAAAAAAATTAACTTTAAGAGATCATAAATATCTTAATGTTTTTTTTTTATAAATATTTTGTTGTATTTTGCTTCGATTTTAAATTTTAATTGTAAGTTTGGTTGTATGTATGCAAGTGAAGTAACGTGAAGTAACGTTAATATATTTTTTTATTTTTATCTTAATAATTAAATAAGCTTAGGAAATGAATGGAAAATATTTTAATTTTTGTTAAATTAAATTAAAATTCAATTTTCCAAAGATTAACAGGAAAATCACCCTAGAAAACGTCGTAATGAGATGATTAAATGAAAAGAAAATAATGAATGAAATTTCTACACTTATTGATTTCTTAGATAATTATTCAATTCATTTTTTTTTCTAAATAATTATTATAATTTGTATTTGTGGATTTATAATTTTATTAGAAAGAAAAATTGGATAAATTTTCTATTGGAATAATTTTGAAATAAAAGAAGAAATAGTTTTTCTGTATAATATTTCATAATTAGATTTAAACATAATTCATTGTTTTCAAATTGTATAATTAAATTTATAAGTTTCTTGAAAAATGAATGGTTTTATGGAAAGTTTCATTGTGTGAATGATTCTGAAGTCTATTTAAATGGTATAAAAGGAAAGATTAAAAAGTTCAGGATGTGCCGTAAATCAAATTCACACTCCTGAGGATAACGTTCACAAAAAATCGAGCGTATAATAATGAAAATTTCAAAAAAAACTGAAGCTTTTACAGCCAGAACGCGTTTTGGTATCATTTTTATCGCGAATCCTGAAGGGTTTGCTCCATTCGTTACGTTTTATTTTTGCGGAGGGTCGCATTCATGAAATTGGTGGTAATTGTAGAGTGAAAAGGCTGGGGACAAAGATGTGCTTATAGTCGTATAAATTTTGGTACCGGTAATATCGGACTGCTGGGATTATCCAGGACGGTTATTTCAGCATGCACAGGATAATAAATCATTGTGTCGGCGGCGCGCAAATTGAGCGATTGTTCGCGCGAGAAATAAAACGTACACAACAAGAGACAACAAGGAGCGAAAAAAAAATAGGGTTTTGGAGTAGGATGAGGATGAGGAAAAGGAGTGGTTCTCGTTTCTAAAAACAAGGAAGTAATTCATTGAGGGTGGACGGGAAAGCAAAACGGGACTAGAAATAATAAATCAGATGTGAGGAGCGTCTGAGCTAATTATTACCGACGGATCTAGTTTCTGGAATAATGCCTGATTAATGGAGCCGAAGAGTTTGAAGGCGTGCGGCTCCTTCGTGTTCCCATTTTTTTTATATCCTTATTCATTCTTCCTCGTCTTTCTTTCATCGCATCTCTGGATTGCAAATAAGGTGCGGACGGATTTTTTCACGTCCTTCCTTCCTCATTTCTCTCAAAAAGGATCAATAAGGGATCCATCAGCGCGCCGGCAACTATTTATCTCTTCATTGTTAATTTTCTTGATTGATTGTTGCTCGTTATTGGAGGAGCTTTGATGGATGATGGCTCCAAGAAAAAGAACTTACCAATATCGCAGGCAAAACGATTTCGCATTCATTATCGCTTCCGGAGGAATTAAGGAAGCTACGATTTTTTTTATATTGTGTCATAATAAAAATCGTTCATAATTTATTAAAGAATCAGATGAAATCAGTTGAATGAAAAATCAGTTCCAATAATAACTCTAAAATTAAAAAAATCTTCACGTTTTACTATTTTTCTTCGACATGAAAATTTTAATAATGTAATTACAACATATTATATAAACTTTAAAGAAAGTATTTTTGTTACTTATAGTTTTCCTGTTATTTAACAAATAAAACTTCGATCAAGTAGTCTTCACGTTTAGTTTTATGACTTTTTAACCATGCATGTCACATGGATCTATATCGAAATCTCGACAACTGAAATCCAAACTGTATCGAAATCCTGACGTTCGAAATCCCGACGTTCTAAATCCCGACTGTATCGAAATCCCGACAACCATGATCCCGACTATGTTGAATTATTCATGATAAACCTTGTTGTTATTTATTATTAATAACAATTTAAAAATGACTACGCTTGGGAACAATTTTAAAATGTTATTGTAAAAAATTTCGATATAGTCGGGATTATTCGGATTTATCCAATTTGTTATTTAAAAGAAATATTTAGTTTTCCTCTGAAAAAGCAGTGTCTTCACATCTTATTAAATTTTTCAATAACCAATTGAGCCACATTCATAAATTAAAAATGTAATTTAAGCAAAATCTATAGACTTTATATCAGACTTTTAATATTTAGAAAGAAAATAAGTTAAAAATAAAATATTTCAAATTTATTCCAAAAATCATAAATTATTTAAAAAACGTTATTAATAAATTTCGAAATAAATAAAACTTTAAACAATTTGTACAATGAAATACAAAAGCCAGATGTGCATGAAAAGAGGGCGTTTGCACACCTGCATAATAGATAAGAAAGTAATCAAAATTGGGAAATTATTTACGAAAACGTCCGAAGCAGATGCGAGCGCAGCGTTAACAAAACCTTATATGGACATGAAAACGTCGTATCTAAGTCGACACGGTGATTCATCTGCAGGTGTGCAGATCCTATAACAATCCTTATATGGTTATGAAAACAATGCACAACTGCTTAGCGATTAATCACAGCTGTTAAAACAATCGTTATATAAGTACAAAATTAGTGAATTTTATTTCTTATTACTCTTCATATTCATTTGTCATTAGAAATAATTTATATTTATGTCACTTATTCTGATATAATTTCATAATTTAACCGTTGTGGACGCGCGCAGTTGGTAAAATATACCCATACCTAGAGTTAATTATTCTAACCGACTCAGTACCTTCTAAATGGACTATTCTGAAGACATACCTAAAATTATCCTATTTTTAGAGCAGTCACTACTTGTCAGCTGTAGTATAAAGTACGCCAGGGTAAAGTTTACCCATCGCGCGCGTCCCTATGTTTGTTAACAACACGTGAAAGCGATGTGTCAAAATTGTTTAAATGACAATAATTTCAACATCGAGGAACAAGAAGAAAATTTGTAAGACGTGTTATGTATAACCGTTATTGTTTATATTATGTTAGCCCTTATTATTTTATACATGTTTATTTATGTAAGTCTTAGAACAAACACCACTTAGGAAAATTCCATAACTAATCATTGTGTAACGAATATTCTTAATCACGATGTTGTGAACAAACTCGAAGGTCCAATCTGTAATGACCATTAATATGTACATCTGTCTAATGACTTACGAATTATTGTACTCCCACTATGTTAATTCCCTACCATAAAATAAGATGTTTATGTAATACAAAGTCAGTCTGAGGGTAAGTCTTAGCTAAAGGGTCGAACTGAGAAGTTGGTGTTACTTGGAAAGTCCAAGGAAGAGCACTTACCTCATAAACACTAACTTAAGAGGAGAATGTAACTCTTAGTTAATAATACCTGAGATCAACTATTGTTTAGTTGACTTCTCAATACAACTCCGATGTATACAATAAAACTAATTAAGAATATTGCATTTAATATTCATAAACCCCTTTAAGACTCCGCAACGACATAACTACGAGATAATCCACGGTGTCCAAGGATTTCTTAACCCTGGGACACGACAGACGATTAACAAACATTATAGATTTTTTTGTATGTTTGTGTTACTCTGTCAAAATGTGTTTTTACTTTTATTTTTAAAATATTATGTTTGTAATAGAATAAACTAAACAAATATTTCTATTTGTGTACTAAATGCCTTGTAAAATATTTGTTTCCAAGAAATTATACATTATAATTACATAAGATAGCATTTAAACTGATGTAATAGATAGTGGCTAAAATATATTTCATGTAATAAAAATGCGCGCGTGTCGACAAGGGTTAATCAAAGTCTACTAAATTAATTTATGTTTTAAAATTTGCTAAAATCTAACTACAAAATGAATATCTATTTTGCATGAAGTAACAAAAAATAAAAATAAACAAATTGA